GACGATGGTTCTGCTGATGACGATGACGATGTGGACTATGCTGGTGATGGTGATGGTGATGCTGATGCTGCTTATGGTGGAGGTGATGGTGCCGATGATGATGATGCTGCTGATGATGGTGATGACTGACGAGGATGATGCTGCATATGATGCTGATGCTGATGCTGATGCTGATGCTGATGCTGATGCTGATGCTGATGATGACGATGATGCTGCTGCTGTTTTTGGGGGTGATGATGCTGACGATGCTGATGTTGATGCTGATCATGCTGATGATGGTGTCTATGGTACAACTGATGCCATGATGGTGGTGGTGGTTGTGATGATGAGGATGCTTATAGTAATGGTGACGAGTATGCTGGTGACCATGGTCGTGACGGTGGTGGTGGTGGTGATGATGATATACTCTGAAGATGGCTAGGACTATGGTGATGATGGTGAGGTTGATGGTGATGCTGATGCTGCTGATGATGCTGCTGCTGCTGATGACGACGATGATGATGCGGCTGCTGGTGATGATGATGATGATGATGATGATGATGATGATGATGATGATGATGATGATGATGATGATGATGATGATGATGATGATGATGATGATGATGATGATGATGATGATGATGATGATGATGATGATGATGATGATGATGATGATGATGATGATGATGATGATGATGATGATGATGATGATGATGATGATGATGATGATGATGATGATGATGATGATGATGATGATGATGTGATGATGATGATGCTGATGATGATGATGATGATGATGATGATGATGATGATGATGATGATGATGATGATGATGATGATGATGATGATGATGATGATGATGATGATGATGATGATGATGATGATGATGATGATGATGATGATGATGATGATGATGATGATGATGATGACGATGATGATGATGATGATGAGTTTGAGGATGATGCGGGGGTGATGATGGGGATGCTTAGAGGAGGAGGAGGAGGAGGAGGAGGAGGAGGAGGAGGAGGATGAGGAGGAGGAGGAGGAGGAGGAGGAGGAGGAGGAGGAACGAGGAGGAGGAGGAGGAGGAGGCGGGGCAGGCGTAGGGAGGAGGTGGGGGACGAGGAGGAATAGGAGGAAGAGGAGGAGGAGGAGGATGAGGAGGAGGAGGAGGAGGAGGAGGAGGAGGAGGAGGAGGAGGAGGTTGACGAGGAGGAGGAGGACGAGCAGGTGGAGGAGGAGGAGCACGGGGAGGAGGACCATCGTAAACTCAGGACTCATCAATGATGTTGCAATGCATCATCTCTCCAAGTTCCCTTTTCATATGTCCCTACACGATCCATTGCCACTGCGGGAACTGCCCCGTTGGACGACAACCGTCCGAACAGTTTCAACCATGCCAACGCACTATTCCTGGGACTTCAGCGCCACGAATCAACGTTACAGTCGCGTCCTAACGATCCTGCGTCGTTCCAGCACGCAGTTCCTGGGACTTCAACGCCGCAAAGCTTCGTGACTGCCGCGCCCAGACAATCCAAAATCGTGCCAACCCACCGTGTCTGGGAGGGCAACCACAAGAACCCTTGAGCAAGTTGTATACCGCTAAGACGAAGGTGCGCGGCGCCAGGGCGAGAGCCACACTGAAGAACATGAGCCGCCCTGGACCCGTGAAGTTGTCGCAGGCTTTTGAGACGAATGTGCGCGGCGCTAATCCGAGAGCCAGATTTTGGAGACAACCCGCCCACCCTCCATCCGTCAATTCTTGCAGATTTTGGGGGATCTGTGCGCGTCGCTAAGGTTGTGGAAGTCGATTAACGGGGAGGAAACATGCTGCCAAACAATTTCCAGCTGTCTAAAATATGTTTCAAACATGTTTTAACCTGTAAGAAAACGCTTGAATCACGTTTACACGCATCTGAAGCAAATCTGAATTCAACGGTGGGATTGTTAGAGTGTCCATTGTCATGACATCCACAACGCTAAGGCGAGAGCCACAGTTTGAACACCGCAGTCCCTCCACCCGTGAAGCTGTTGCAACGTTCAAGTTTCAGGGCCATGCAGGGTGAGAAAGCCTCAGGCGGAACGCCTGCCCCCGCCCTACGGACAGGCCTCGGTGTGCGACAGGGATGCGTCATTTTTGTACGGGAAGGGGATTGAAGGGATGGTAAGGGGATGAAGGACGGGAGGATGGAAAGGCGGGTCACGATGTTGTGGGTTGTGATTAGGGTTGTAGTGATGGTGATGGTGGTGATGGTGATGCTGCTGGTGATGACGAGGATGCTGTTCATGATGATGATGAGGATGATCAGGACGACGATGATGAACATGGTGATGATGATGATGACGATGCTGATGATGAAGATGATGATGCTGATGCAGATGATGATCATGAAATGATGATGGCGATTATGATGATGACACCGGGTGTGATGGCGACGATGATGACGATGCTGCTGCTGCTGATGAGGACGAGGATGAGGACGATACTTAGATGAGGGTGGTGACGATGACGATGATGATGACACTGTTGCTAATGCTGCTGATGATGATGATGCTGACAGTGATTACGATGCTGATGATGACGATGATGTTGCTGGTGCTGATGATGCTTATGATGATAGTTGTGGTGGTGGTGATGGTGGAGATGATGATGATGATGATGATGATGATGATGGTGGTGATAATGGTGATGTTTACGACGAGGATGATGAGGCCGATGCTGATAAAGTGTCGGCGATTGTGGTGATGTGATGATGGTGGTGATGATGATGTTGATAACGACGATCACGATTATGATGCTGTCCAGGATTCTGATGCTCATGATGATGGTGATGATGATGATGATGAGGATGGCGATGATGATGGTGATGATGATGATGATGGTGGTAATGATGCTGATTATGATGATGATGACGAGGATTATGCTGATGATGATGCTGATGCTGATGATGATGGCGATGGCGATGAGCATACTGGTGCTGCTATTGTTGATGCTGCTGGTGCTGATGCTGCTGCTGATGACGATGATGATGATGATGACGATGATGATGATGATAATAATGATGATGATGATGATGATGATGATGATGATGATGATGATGATGATGATGATGATAGTGATGGTGGTGATGTTTAGTATTCTCATTATTATTGTGTTTTTTATCATTCTTACTTTTACGGCCTTTTAGCATCACGACTATCATCAACAATATGATTATGATGTTGCTGCTGCTGCTGATGATGATGATGATGACGATGATGATGACGATTATGCTGATGATGCTGACGATGATGCTGATGATGGTGATGATGATGCTGATGATGCTGATGATGCTGATTATGCTGATGATGCTGATGATGATGATGATGATGATGCTGCTGCTGATGATGATGATGACGATGACGATGATGGTGATGGTGATGGTGATGGTGATGGTGATGGTGATGAAGAAGAAGAAGAATCCGGGGAGGATAATGCGAAGGATGGATGAGGAGGGAAGGGGAGAGATCTGCGAGGCGATGCGAGGCACGTCAGGACGAGGCAAAGCCAAGCAAAGTGCACATTTTTCAGAGGCCAGGCATGGGGAGGCGTGGCCCCGAGGCGGTCATGCGTGCAGCAGTACAGAGTACAGTATCTACCAGGACTGCGTACTCGTGCTGTCTCGAGCACGAGTGCGCCCGCAGCAAGGTACTCGTGCTCAGCACATTTCGAATACGAACAACCTGCATACATCCTAGCTTTGGGAGCTCCACGAGGATCTCTTTGTTCGGTTTAGGCTTATGCTTCCTTTTGTCCTTCCAACAGGGGGACATTGGTCCCGTGAGTGGCGCTGGGCTCTGCCCGGGTCAAGACATACGCATAGCCCGTTTCGATCCAATCGATTCGATTCGATGTCGAGCTCGGCAGGCTCGATCCGATTCGATTCCGATATTCCGACGATCCGATGCGGCGCGATGCTTGCATGGTGCTGATGTGCATCCCAGCGCACCCGATGTGATTCGATTCTGACTCCGTGTCGGAGCAGCCCGATCCGACGCCGATCCGATTCGTTTTCCCGACTGGCTGCTGACTGATCCGGCCCTGGCCCGTGCCAGCCTGCCAGTCGTCGCCGTGGCCTGGCCGGGCCACGCGCAGGGGCTTTAAAGACGGACAGCGCTGCGCCCTTCGAAGCCCGGGCCGCTGCGTTGCTCTGCTCGACGGCGGCGGCGTGCTGGGCGCGAAGCTCAGAAGGCCTCGGGCCCCCCGAGAGGTTTTCTGTGTCTTCGGGGAAGGCGCGCAAAACTTCTCAGAAGGCCGGGGGACTCCCGAGCCCTCTGAGAGGGCCCGCCCCTTCTCGCTTGCCCCCAGGCTCGCCGCCGAAAAAAAGAGGATCCCGCCTCCGGCCCAACCCGCAGGCCACGCGGAATCGACCGCAGACGCCGGCTCCTGACGGCTCTTCTGCCCAGATTGCCCCCAATGACGGCCCCAAGACGCTCCCGCGATGGCCAAGATTGAGGGGCCGATTTCCCATCACCACTACCACAGGTAGGGGAGGGATGAGGAGGAAGAGGAGGAGGAGGAGAAGGAGGAGGAGGAGGAGGGGGAGGAGGAGGATGAGGAGGAGCATCAACAGCAGCGGGAGGAGGAGAAGGGGGAAGACCTCCCCATCCTCCCTTCTCCCCCGTCCTACCAGTGGCACGTAGTGGTGGTGGAAAATTGGCCCGTCAAAGATGGCCCTACAGTGCCGTTTTTAATACATGCTCCGCGTGCGGATCATGTATAACAAATGCATGGATTTTGTATTAAAAACAACGATGAGTTCATGCATCAATTTATCCATATATTAATCATGTATTAAAAATCGATATTTTCAAACATCCTATGTATTGAAAACTGCCCCGTAGGCCCGCCGCCGAAAAGAGTGGCCGCGCCCCGCGCCCCCCCGCGCGGCTCGCGGCTGCGAGGCCCCGCGGCGCAGAGCCCGCCCCTCGCCACGTGCCCCGCCCCGCCCCGCCTGGCGCGCCGCCCGGCGCGCCCGCAGGAGAGCGGACGCCACGCTGAGCGGCGCCTCGGGCGCGCCGCCCCCGCGCGCGACCCGGCCCAGGGGGCGGGGGCCTCGCTTGGCGTTATCGGGGGCGGCAAAGAGGGGGGTGATGACTGGGGGGGGTGGATATCATGGCGGGGGCCATGATATTTCCTCAGATTTCATGGCGCCTCTTCTTATTTCATTGCGTCCCTGGCCCCCCCGCTGGGCCGCGCACATGCCGCCGGTCATGATTTGCACCCCCCTCTTGGACACCCCCCTCTTGGCCGCTCCCGATGTTAGACGCGTTTCATGTGAGTTTGCTTGCCTTGGTCTTCTGCTTCGGTCTGTTTTGGTTGCTTGCTCCTCTCGTCCTCGCTCTCCTCGTCCGCGCTCCTCTCGTCCTCGCCGTCGCCGTCGCCGTCGCCGTCGCCGCCGCCGCCGCCGCCGCCGCCGCCGCCGCTACCGATACCGCTACCGCCGCCGCCGCCGCCGCTGCCGCCGTGGTCGTCGTCGTCGTCGTCGTCGTCGTCGTCGTCGTCGTCGTCGTCGTCGTCGCTGTCGCGGCCGCCGCCGCCGCCTGGGGCCAGCGGGCACCGGCGGAGGGTGCCCCCCCCCCCCCCCCGCGGAGGCTATTTCGCCTGCGCGGGTGCGAGCGGCGGCTTCGCCTCCGCGCTCACGTCGCCGCTGGAGGGCAGCGTCGCACCGCCGTCCCCCGGCCCCCCTCCACTGTGGGGAGGGGGCGCCGTGAGGCAGAGAGGGGGGTCGCTTGGGGATCGCTCCTCCTCCCCCCTCCCCTTCCTCGTTTCCTGCCTCCTCCCCCGCCTGTCCTCCCTCCTCGTCCTCCTGCTCATCCTTCCTGCTTCTCCTCCTTCCTCCTGCTACTCCCCTCTCCTCTCCTGTCCTTTCCTCTCCTCGCCTCGCCTCTCCGCTCCTCTGCTCTCCTTCACTCTCCTCTCCTCTCCTCTCCTCTCCTTTCCTTCCCTCGCCTCTCCTCTCCTCCCCTCTCCTCTCTTCTCCTCTTTTCTCCATCTGCTCTCCTGTCTTCTCCTCTTTTCTTCTCGCCTTCTCCTTCCCCTGTTCCCGCACATCTCCTCTCCTCTTCTATCCTCTCGTCTCCTCGCCTCTCCTCTCCTCTGCTGCCATCTCTCATCTTATCCTTCTTCTCTCCTCTCTTCTTCTGCTTCTCCGCCTCCCCCCTGCTCCTCCTCCCCCTCCCTCCCCTCCTCCATCTCCGCTCCTTTTTCTCATAGAGAACTCCCTGTCGCACACCGAGGCCGGTCGAAAGGCCTGGCCAGGTGTTTCGCATGAGACGTCTTTACCACTGATGATCCTGATATTTACATTTCACAACAGTTTGACAAATGGAGGGCGGGCCGCTTTCAATCTGTGGCTCTCGCCTGAGCGCCGGGCGCATTTCTTTTAGATCATCGCAAGAGTTTGACGGATGGAGGGCGGGCCGTTGTCAAAATTTGGCTCTCGCCTTTGCGCCGCGCACATTCGTCTTACAACGTTGCAGGGGTTTCGAGGGCGGGTGTTTTTTTCAAATGTGGCTCTCGTCTTACCGCCGCGCACATTCGTCGCACAACGTTGCAAGAATTTCAAGGATGGAGGGCGGGCAGTTTTCAAAATGCGGCTCCCGCCTTGGCACCGCGCGCATTCGTCTTACACTTTGCAATGGTTTCACATATGGAGGGCGGGTGAATTTCAACATGTAGCTCTCGCATTAGCGCGGCGCGAAGTCGTTTCAACAGTTTATTACAGTTTCAAGGATTCTCATGATTAACGTCCCAGCGGCGTGGCATGACTTCAGAGTGTCTTTCCCGGTGTTGAAGTCCCAGGAATGGTGTTCTGGCACGGTTCAGGATCGTCAAGACTCAACAGTTGGGGGGATTCGCTGTGGTGAACTCCCAGGAAAGGGGGTGGTGGCGCAGTTCAGGATTTCAACCGGCTGTCTTCCAACTGGGCACTTTCCCCAGTGAAGACGAATCTCCGTAAGGGCTTCGCCCCCTGCCGCTGGCCCCCCTCTCTTAGAATGGGACTTGCCAGAGCTGTGTTGGGATGTCTGGACGCTGACGTGAAGCAATGTCGGAACTTCACGCGAGGGCCAATATTGACTTACGAAAGTTTATGGCTTCGGTGGCGCGAATATTAGGTAATTAAAAAATGGTATGTGGCTTCGGGGACGCGAGCATGGGATAATTTACGAAGGTTTGTGGCCTCGGGGACGAACATATTATATAATTAGTAAGGGTGTATGGCCTCGGGGCCGCGAGTATTGCATGATTTGCGAGGGTTTGTGGCCACGGGGACGCAAGCACGGTGTAATCTACAAAGGTTTACGGCCCTGGGGACGCGAATATTGTATAATTTTGGACGGATTATGGTTTCGGGGTCGCGATTATTGTTTAATTTACGAGGGTTTATGGCTTCGGGGGCGCGACTATTGTGTAATTTACGCGGGTTTGTGGCATCGGGGCGTGCACTTTCTGAACAAGGCGTCCTAGAGTGCTACGTCCATCTGCTCGACAAGTTGTACCGCGATCAAACGGCCAACATCAAGACTGACAGCACTAGCAAACCATTCAGAATTCAAAAGGGGGGTGAAGCAAGGAGACCCGCTCTCATCTTTGTTGTTCAGCTGCGTCAAAGAATCCATGATGCGAGAACTCAACAATGCGGTGGAACCGAAGCAGCCTGGGAGTACGACTTCACCCTGACCATTACGCCGACTGAACAACTTGAGGTTTGCTGATGACTTGCTCCTTGTCGCAACATCTTCGTCCGACATCGGAACGCTGCTTGCAGAACTAAGCGAGGAGGCACGAAACGTCGGACTCAACCTACATCCCGACAAGACTAAAGCTTTACACAACGGCCACGGACATTATCGTCGATGCCGGCCCCCGCAACACATACAGGTGAATGGTATGATGATCGAGGTTCTTCCGCCTTTCAGATCTTGCAAATACCGTGGGCGCAAAGTGCAGTTCTCGGGCCCACACGGTGTCGAACTGGACAACGAACTTGCCACCGCCTGGAAGAAATTCTTTTCCCTCAAGCAGGAATCTTTTCCCTCAAACAGGAATAATCTTTATGCAAGGACTATTCCTTACACGACAGATGACGATTGTTTCATGGATGCGTAACACCCGTGGCTTTATACGGGTGTGAATCCTGGACACTCACATCAGATTTAGAGAACCGCTTGCAAATAATGGAACGATACATGCTGCGCATGATACTTTGAGCGAAGCGGCGCCGACAACAGCGTGCAGAGAGCACGACTAGAGACCAACCAGGCAACGCCGACATTTCCAACAACGACGCCAGAAACGACACCACCACCGACTCCAGCGAACACGGAACCGACACCACAAGTGACATCATCAATTTGGTCGAAGAGACGAGTAACGAATTGGAGCCTTGGGTCGATTGGATCAAAAGCGTGACCGCCGAAGCTCGCGCGAGGATCCAACAACTCAACATCGAGGATTGAATAACGACGCAACGGATAAGGAAGTTCTAATTGGCAGAACAGGTCGTTTGTGGACCTGTTGACAATTTGGCAAAGAAGGTATTACTGTAGAGACCCGACAACGACCCAGAAGGATCAGAAGGATCACCTCATAGACGACCCGGGCGCCAGAAAACCCGATGGACGGATGCCTTAAGCACTTTTTTCATGGAGTCATATGGCCATTCAGACTGGCATCGTGTCGCTACCACACCGGGGTGGGACGGTCTCCTGAGCGCCCACATCCAACAGTGATTTCCCACCCCGCCGCTTCCCCTCCTGCTTTCTCTCCTCCTTGAAAGCAAATTCTGTCGTAACGGCGCGGTCTTCGGAAATGCGGCCGAAATGTTGCAACCTTAATTTGTGGGCCAGAATGAACAGATTCTGTCGTAACGGCGCGGTCCTCGGAAAAGCGGCCGAAATGTTGCAACCATCTTGGCCGATTTTCAGCCAGGTGATCAGAACTAGAACGGGCCTTTTTCCATTGTCATTGTGTTCTCCTCGTGCTTTCATTTTCCGGCGCCTTGGCGCCCCCTCCGCTGCGCCTCCATGGCGCCACGCACGCGGAGCCATTTGCCAGTTGCCAGTTGTGGCGTCGGGGATGCAAACATCGCGTAATTTACGAAGGATTATGGTTTCGCGGACGCGAATCTTGGGTAATTTAAAAGGGTTTATGGCCTCGGGGACGCGAGTATGGTGTAATTTATGTGAGATTGGGGACGCGAGTATCACTTATTTTTACTTGTCCCACGCCCCCCCAGGAATTTTGATAACCCTCCCAGAACGTGGTAAAAAATCCGGCAATTTTCGCCCTCGCAGCCTGATGGCCCCGCAAGGGGGGCCGGCTGATTTGTAGGTTTGTAAGGGCTTATGAAGAGGGAGCTTGGAGGGAGGGTTTGTTACAGTATCGTTAAGGAGTCTTGGGTTTGCACCTGTCCTCCCTCCTCCTACTCCCCCTCCTCCTCCTCCTCCTCCTCCTCCTCCTCCTCCTCCTTATTCTCTTCTCTCTTCCTCCTCCTCCTCCTTTTCCTTATTCTCTTCTCTCTTCCTCCTCCTCCTCCCCCTCCTCCTCCTCCTCCTCCTCCTCCTCCTCCTCCTCCTCCTCCTCCTCCTCCTCCCCCCCTGCTCCTCTCCTCCTTTCCTCTCCTCCTATTCCTCTCTTCTCCTCCTTTCTCCTCGTCGTCGTCGTCGTCGTCGTCGTCGTCGTCGTCGTCGTCGTCTCCCTCCTCCTCCCCCTCCTCCTCCTCCTCCTCCTCCTCCTCCTCATTCTCCTCCTCCTCCTCCTCCTCGTTCTCGTTCTCGTTCTTCTGTATTGGAAATGGGGAGGCTGCCTCACTGCACTGGGGAAGGAGTCCTGGGGCAGCGGGCCGTGGAGTTCTCTTGGTCGGCTTCGGGCTCCCAGTGCGGGCCCCATGGCCATGAACAGACAACCCAGGGCAAGCCATCTCTCCCGGGGGAGGCGTCGGGTTTCAGGACCTTGGCATCGCTCGGACGTGTGCAGTTTTTCTCGGCAAGGACCATCGAGGCATCGAGGAGCATTGACGTCCGAGCGATTGCAAGGGACTCGTTTGTTTCAGAACCCGTTCCCTTCATGCCGGGTGCAGGACGAGAGGAAGGGCTTCGGAAACGCGTCAACTCTAAGATGCCCCCCTTCCCCCCATGGGGCTGTTCGGGCGCACCTCGTCGAGGACGGGCGCCCCCCATGGTAAATCCCAGAGTTGGGCCCAACATCTTTTATCCAGTCGCATTGTCCACAAGGTGGGGGATTGGGTCGCCATGCCTCCCTTTCAGGGAAGGCGCGGAGGGAAAGAGGAGGAGGAGGAGGAGGAGGAGGAGGAGGAGGAGGAGGAGGAGCACCAGTGTAAACCCAAACGCCCCCTTTTCTTGCGCCCCTTGTCGTCCGCCAGCCACGTGTTTGTGTGTGTGTGTGTATTTGTGTGTGTGTGTGTGTGTTTGTGTGTGTGTGTGCGTGTGCGTGTGCGTGTGCGTGCGCGTGCGTGCGTGTGCGTGCGTTCGTGTGCGTGCGTGCGTGTGTGCGCGCGCGCGCGTGTGTGTGTCGGTGCGCGCGAACATTCTGCCCAATGCAAACATAATCATCCTTCTCGGGTGCAACCAGAACCAGAACCAGAACCAGGAGGAGGAGGTGGAGGAGGATGAGGAGGAGGAGGAGGAGGGGGAGGAGGAGGAGGAGGGGGAGGAGGAGAAGGAGGAGGGGGAGGATGAGGAGCAGGAGGAGGAGAAGGAGGAGGAGGAGGAGGAGGAGGAGGAGGAGGAGCATGGGGGATGACGACAGGGGGTTTCGAACACAACCGCTAGCTTTCTCAATTGAGTTCTCGGAGGTCTTCGAGGGTTTGTGGAAGCTTCCTGATGCGGGCGGAGGACCAGTTCAATGAGGGGGGCGGGAGCCGGAGGAGGAGGAGGAGAAGGAGGAGGAGAAGGAGGAAGATTTCTTGCTCCTTCCCCTGCTCCCTCCCTCCTTCCTGGGAGGAATGTCGACGACGACGACGATCATGATAATGCTGCTGCTGATGATGATGATGAGGATGATGATGCTGATGATGATGATGATGATGCTGATGCTGCTGACGATGATGATGGTGATGATGATGCTGCTGCTGATGATGATGCTGATGCTGATGATGCTGATGATGCTGATTGCTGACGATGCTGATGATGCTGACGATAATGAAAGTGGTGCTGTTTTCGATGATGCTGATGGTGCTGATGATGATGATGATGATGATGATGATGATGATGATGGCGATGCTGCTGATGTTTGTGCTGTTGCTGATGGTGATCCTGGCGACGATAATGACGCTACTGATGCTGATGCGGATGCTGCTGGTGCTGATGATGATGCTGCTGCTGATGATGATGATGACAATGATGCCGCTACTGACGATGATGATGCTGACGATGATGCTGATGATGCTGATGATGCTGAGGATGCTGCTGCTGCTGATGATGATGATGACGATGATGATGATGCTGATGATGATGCTGATGATGCTGAGGCTAATGACGATGATGATGATGATGAGGATGAGGATGAGGATGATGCTGATGATGATGATGATGATGATGATGATGATGATGAGGATGATGAGGATGATGATGATGATGATGATGATGATGATGATGATGATGAAAACGATGATGATGATGATGATGATGATGATGATGATGATGATGATGATGATGATGATGATGATGATGACGACGACGACGACGATGATGATGATGATGATGATGATGATGATGATGATGATGATGATGATGATGGTGATGATGATGATGATGATGATGATGATGATGATGATGCTGATGACGATGCCGATTACGATGACGATGACGATGCTGAGGATGATAAGGACAGCAGGGAGGTAAAGAGGAGGAGGAGGAGTAGGAGGAGGTGGAGGCGGCGGCGGAGGCGGAGAAGGATGAGGATGGCAACAGCCGCTACAGGATGATGATAAATTAGTAGGGAGGAATGATTGAGGTCGGATGAGTGACGAGGAGAAACAGAAATACGAGGTCGACGAGGATGATGCAGATGCAGATGCAGGATGAGGAAGAGAAAGGACGAGAAAGGAGGAAGGGAAGGAGGAGGGAGGGAGGGAGGGACACTGCCATGGTCTCCTGATGCCCGATCTGCCCCATGTGCAAGCCAAAGGCGCTTCTATTGCCTGGCAGCAAGTGTTTTTGGCTGAGGCGCGTGTCCACTGCCAGCTCTGAGCAGGAGTAGGAGGAGGAGGAGGAGGAGGAGGAGGAGGAGGAGGAGGAAGAGGAAGAGGAGGAGGAAGAGGAGGAGGTGGAGGAGGAGGAGGAGGAGGAGCAGAGGAGGGAGTGAATAGGATTGCACCTTCTTGAGGTCCCCCCCTACGGGGCCTTGGGCCTTCGTCAAAGGGGTCTGTGCGTTTGTCGGCGCGGCCCAGCCCGATTCGATTCCGATGCGTTTCGACGATAGATGCGGCCTGCTGCTTGCGTGGCGCTGTTTCTCGTCTTGGCTCGGCCCGGTCCGATTCGATTCCGATGTGCTCCGACGATCGATGCGGCCTGCTGCTTGCGTGGCGCTGTTCCGCATCTTGGCGCGGCCCCGTTCGATTCGATTTCGACCCCGAGCCGATGCGGCCCGATCCGACCGACGCGCGTTCCGATCCCACTCCGATGTCCCGATGCGATGCTGACTGACTGCCTGCCCCCCCCCTCCCAGGGAGCTGGCTCGCAACGTTGTTCTCCAGAGGTCTGGACTCCTCACCACGGGCCGCTGTTTCACCCTGGGTTGTTTTCGACGTTCCCAGCGCCCGGCCAGGGCCCCTGGAGGCCGAAAACTACCAGACATGTTCCGTCTTCTATGGTGTGCTTCTTGTTTGTTCTTCTTCTTCTTCTTCTTCTTTTTCTTCTTCTGCTTCTTATTTTTATTTTTCTTCTTCTTTTGCTTCTTCTTCTTTTGCTTATTCCTCTTCTTCTTCTTATCATGTTTGCTCTTCTTCTTCTTCTTCTTCTTCTTCTTCTTCTTCTTCTTCTTATTATTATTATTATTATTATTAATATTATTATTATTGGTTTTTCTTCTTCTTCTTCTTCCACTGCGAGAGGGTGTCGGGGTTGGCCGCGGACCGAGGACGTGGTGAAGACGCGGCTGCAGACGTCGGACATGCCGGCCGCGTGCTCCTCTGGCGCGCCCTCGGGTGCAGGGCCAGCCACGGGCGCGAGAGGTCGGAGGGCACCGACTGCACACCTGCGCCGATCCCGGGCCCAGGATCGGTCCTGCCCAAGCCAGGAGGGCGTGCACGCCGATCCCGAGCCCAGAGGAGGAGGAGGAGGAGGAGGAGGAGGAGGAGGAGGAGGAGGAGGAGGAGGAGGAGGAGGAGGAGAGGAGGAGGAGGAGGAGGAGGAGGAGGAGGAGGAGGAGGAGGAGCGAGGAGCGAGGAGCGAGGAGCGAGGAGCGAGGAGCGAGGAGCGAGGAGCGAGAAGGAGGAGGAGGATGATGATGATGAGGAGGAGGAGGAGGAGGATTTGGGTGCTGGGCGAGGTGCGCGGGCCGCGGTCTCCACCGCGAAGGCGATCCTGGCAGAGGAGCCCCCCGACGCCGCAGGGGTGGCCCGCGGCTCGGTCGGCTAGTCAGCCCGCGTCGCAGCGCTCAGTCTGCTCGGCCCGCTCGCCGGCGGGGCCGCAAATAGAGTCGCAGAGGAGCCCACGAGATGGCCTCCCCCCACCACGCCGCAGGGGCGTTTCTGCGGCTCGGTTGGCTCGTCGAGCCGCGTCGCAGTGCTCGTTCGGCTCGGCCCAGTCTCGAGGAACAAGCAGTGACAGCAACAGGAATTTTCAGAGGCCCGCGCTGATCCCTTGGATCGGCGCTGCACCCCACCAGGCGCGCGGAGCGCGCTAGGGGGTTCCAGCGCTGATCCGAAAAGTTAGCTGGACCTCCGAACGTTTATGCTTCTGTCACCGTTTGTTCCCCGGCAGTCGCCCGCGGGGCCGCGAACGCAATCGCGCTTCAAGCATCGCAGCCTTGGGCCAGAGGACTGCCCTTCTCCAGGGGTCGGGGCGGAGGCGCGAAGGTAACCGCGCGTACGCGGCTCGGTCGACCAGGCCGCGTCGCAGCGCTCGGTCGGCTCGGTCGGGTCGCCCGAGGGGCCGCGAACATCTGCGGCCGCTTGCAAACACTACCCCTGCGGGTTCAATCTGCGCTGGGGCATCGGACATCCCCGCGGGGGATTCCCCTGGCTACAGACATCGCTCGAGTTCTGAACCCCGCCGGTTTTTCAGAAATCTGGCCCACTTGCGGGGCGCGTAATGGGGGGGGTGGCGATGCATGGGGGGGCAGCGAGGGCTGCAGAAAAGGGGCCCTGTAGGGCCCCCAGGAAGGGGCCTGTAGGGCCCGAAAAGGGCACCGTCCTTCCCCTCACGCCCCCCATTAAGTCGCGCCCAACTTGCACGGGCAGGGCTCACATGTGGTTGCCTAGAAGAGAACCGCGCTTTGCGCATCACGGGGGCTGCCCTTCTCCAGGGGCCGGCGCGGAAGCGCGACGGTGACCGCGCCTTCGTGCATCGCGCCCCGCGGTGCGCGACGTGGGGCAGCCTGCGCTCGGTTCGGTCGGCTGCCGTGTCGCTGCCGCACCGCTGCGCCCTCCCAGGCTCTGTCTGCTTGCGGGCCGTCGGTTTCGGTCGGTCTTCGGTCTCGCTGTAAGTCTGGTTGGGTTTTTTAGGCCGTGCTGTCGCCGTGGACAGCCTCGCGCCCGGCGGCGAGCGGGGGAGGGGTTGGGTGAGGGGATCTCGACGTCCGCGAGGCTCGACCTCCAGGTGTCTGTTGTTTTCCCAGTTTGAGGAGTGTCTCGGATGGCACGCAGCCGTGAAGCAGTACGGCGACGCCCTCTGAGGCCACGGCAGCTCATGTGTTTTGCATTCAGCTTTGTGTTCCTTTTTTTTTGTTGTTGTTGTTGTTTTTTTTTGTTTTTAAATCTCTCTTTCTCTCTCTCCCTGTCATGTATATATATGTATAGGTATATGTATGTGTCTATGCATCTGTGCATGTACGTATGTATGTGTATGTTTATGTATCAGTATGCTTACATGTATATGTATACGCGTATGTATACGCATATATATATATATATATATGTATGTATGTATTTGTGCATAGGTATTTGTATAACATATGTTTTTGTATGTATGTGCATATTTGTATATACAGACATTTAGCTGCATGTATATGTATAAGTATCCATGTGTATTTGTATATGTTTATGTTTGTGCATATGTATATGTGTATGCTCATATATATATGTATGTACATCAGCGTAACTATATGTATGATTATATACATATGTATAGGCATATGTATGTGCATATACATCTGTATGTGTATATATAGGCATATGTACACGTACGTGTACATGTGTACATGTATGTATATACGCACCTGTAACTATGTGCATATCTATATACACAGAAATATAGGTGTAAGCACACGTTTAGATATATATAATTGTAGTTGTGTGTATATTTGTGTACATGCATATGTGCATGCATATGTACATGCACACTTGTATACGATTATGTATATATGTGTATATGTATACGTATATGTACATGTATATATATATGCATATGTATATGTATACGTATATGTTTAGGTTCAGGTATAGGTATATGTGTATGTATATGTATATGTATATATATATATGTATATGTATATGTATATGTATATGTATATGTATATGTGTATGTGTATGTGTATGTGTATACATGTGTATATGTATGTGTATATGTGTATGCACATGTATATGTATATGTATGTGTATATGTATTTGTATATGTTTATGCATATGCATATGCATATGCATATGCATATGTATATGTATATGTTCGTGTATTTGTATGTGTAAAGGTGTATGGACATGCATACATATGTATGCAAACCTTTTAACGCACATACATGTGCATATGTATGTCCATGCGTATATCTACATACGTGTATATATATATATATGCATCTGACATTGGGTATGCATATACATCTACACACGTACATATCTATCAAGACGTATAAAGTGAAACAGACCCACCCTGTTCGTCGGGCCGTGACAGACCCCTGGGCGCCGTCAGGGAGGGCCCCGTGCGGGGCGGAGGCCCCGGTCGGGGGGCCCGGCCCTTGCCAGGAGCGTCGGGGTCCATGGTCTCTCGCTGGTTCTGGGCGGAGCGCTGGGAATCGCCAGCTTCGACGTCGTGTTGGCGTCCTCGCACACTCGCCGCCGTCGTCGTCGTCGTCGTCGTCGTCGTCGTCGTCGTCGTCGTCGTCGTCGTCGTCGTCGTCGTCGTCGTCGGGGGGCCGGCCCCTGCGAGGAGTGTCGGGGCCCACGGCCTCTCTTTGGTTCTGGGCGGAGCGCTGGGAGTCGCCAGCCTCTCAGAGGAGGAAAAGGTACCCGTGCCGCTGCCCCCCTCTTTTCGGCCTCCTGGGAGGCCCTCCTGCCCTCCTGCCCTCCTCGTCACCGCTGGAGTCGCCTTGGAATTCTGGCCGGGACGCACCCGCACTCCGGGAGGGGTCCGGGGTGCAGCGGTGTCGGTATCGTTTGGTTTCCACAGCTTCGACGTCATCTGGGCGTCCTCGCACCCTCGTCGTCGTCGTCGTCGTCGTCGGTTGTCTCGTCGTCGTCGTCGCCGTCATGCATTCTGCAGTGCCCCGAGGCGCCGCCCCCTCCCGGGGAGCTGCCCCCCCCTGCCTTCTCAGGCTGGCGGCCCCGTCGCCCCACACGGTTCTGCGCGCCGCCAGCGTAGAATGAAGTCGGGCATGTCTCTCTACAGGAGGACGATTCAAGAATCGAAACAAAACAATAGTCAGGGGGCGATTTTTTCGTGCTTTTTGGACTATCGTTGATGATTTTTTGACTACTTTTTTTGCTTTCCTTCCAAAGCCCGCCCGTGGGAGGACATGCCCGACCTCAGCATCGAATTTCTCCAGCTTCTCCTCCCTCCTCCCTCCCGTCGCAACTCGCGCAGGCTCCGACGAGGCCTCCTCCCTGGTGCCTCTCAGCCCGCGCGAAGGCCCTCTCAGCGAGAGAGAACGCGCTAGGGGTACGGAGGGGTAGCCCCTACGTCCTCCCCCTCCTCTCCCCCCTGAGGAGGAGGAGAAGGAGGAGAAGGAGGAGGCGGAGGAGGAGGAGGAGGAGGAGGAGGAGGGGAGGAACGCTCAGCGCAAAATCCCTCATCTGCGTCGTCCTCCTCGCCCTCCCTCCTCCTTGTCGTCCTCCTTCATCTCGCCCACGGCGCCGTCCCCGCGGTCCTCCTTCCCCCTGGCGTCTGGACGTCGCGAACGCATCACGGCTGGCTTTTTCGCCTCGTTCTCAAGCGCCTATGGGCCCTCACTGGTCAGTCCAGCTCGAGAGTTTTTAGCAGGAGGATGGGTCAAGGGCATTTTCACATGTCGCTATGATTTGTAACGGCGCCCGGTCTCGAGGTTTCGGAGGGCCTTTTGGCCTTTGGGGGAATCCGTAGAAATTCTTGCTTGGTTCCCAGTCCGAAGTGGGGTTCTTGCATTCTCAAAGCATTCTCCTCGCCACCATCTCCCCATCGGCTTGCGCGTACGTATTCCAACAGTACCACGTCCACACACTCCCTTCATATTGACTCCACCTTGTTTTTTCCCTTGACGACTCCAAGCCGCACCTGCCGCGCCCCACTGGTACGCGTTTGAGGTCGGCCTAGTTTAGCAAGCATTCGTGGCAGTGATCCGGGCGTTTGGTTTTTCAAAGGGGCTCAAGGGTTTTCTAGGTGGGGAAAAGAAGTGATGGAAGGTGGGGAGGGGGGGGGAGGAGGTAACAGGTGGGATGAAGAAAAAGGGATGAGTAAAGATTGGGAAGTTAGAGAAAGACGAGGAGGAGGAGGATGGAAGGAGGAAGGGAGGGAGATGATGATGCTGATGATGATGATGATGCTGATGATGATGCTGCTGATGATGATGGTGATGATGATGGTGGTGATGATGATGCTGATGACGGTTATGGTGATGATGATGATGTTGATGCTGATGGTGGTGGTAATGATCATGACAACGACGACGGCGATAATGATGATGCTGATGATGTTGATGATGCTGATGATGCTGATGATGATGCTGATGCTGATGATGATAGTGATGATGCTGCTGATGATGATGCTGATGATGCTGATGATTCTGCTGCTGATGATGATGCTGATGATGCTGCTGATGATGAGGAGGATGAGGATTATGCTGATGATGATGATGCTGATGATGTGATGCTGATGATTATAATGGTGATGATGATGCTGCTGCTGATGATGATGAGATGATGATGAGGGGATGATGGTGATGATGATGATGCTGGTTCGTCTGATGATGCTGATGATGAGGATGGTGATTAAGACGACGACGATGATGATGATGATGATGATGATGATGATGATGATGATGATGATGATGATGATGATGATGATGATGATGATGATGATGATGATGATGCTGATGATGATGATGATGATGATGATGATGATGATGATGATGATGATGATGATGATGATGATGATGATGATGAGCAGGAGGAGGAGGAGCAGGAGGAGGAGGATGGTTCGTCTGATGATGCTGATGATGAGGATGGTGATTA